AATAATTCATAAAATATACATATATTTTGATTTAATTAAAAATAAGCATTTTAAATATATAAGCATGAATATATATTCCCCCCATTAAAAAATATAAGACATTTTTTGAGAGATTAAATGTTAAAAATATAAAGTATTTTTAATCCTTCAAGATGTAATTATTGCCTTTTTTTAAAAGTATCCCTATTTATAATAAATTTATATTTATTGTAGGGTATTTAATATGAGTAAATATGAAAAGATAGGATTAGTTGAAAAATGAGTAACTATTTTATTGAAGGTGAAATTTGGTTAAAATTTTTTTACATTTTTTAACAGAGGGAGTATAAGTTTTTCACTTCTTTTGTTTAGTGTTTCTTTTCTTGTTTTATCTGGGACAAATTAAAATAATATTCTTCCTATCTTATTGATAATTTATTTTATTGAAATTAATAAAAAAATTAAAATTTATTAATTCTTTTTAAAAATTTAGTAAATTTTCAAAATTATCCATCTTAAATATACTTACTTCAATAATATTCTCTCCATTCAAAAACGTAAGGAATCTCACCCTCTAATAAAATAATTATCTATTTTTAAACTAACTTTATCTGTTTATATTTATCTCTATTAAACACTCTATAATAAATATAAAGTCATTATCAATAGGGACAATTTTGGAACAAAAGCAATGACTACACACCAAAAGATTAAAAATACCTTATATTTTTTAACATTCATCTCTTTAACTCCTTAAAAAAATGCTTTATATTTTTGAATGGAGGGAGTATATTTTTAAAAAATATAACACAATATTTTTACTAATATTTAATGAAAGGTAAAAGGAAAAACCTTGTAATAAAAAGTTAATAATATATCTTATCATTTATTTATAGGTTCCAAAAAAAATTGAATCTCTCTTGTCATTTTCTTTTTTCTTTTTTTGTTCGCGAAGGAAAGAGAAAAGGGAGCTTTTATTGGGTAAGGGCAAAAACGACTCGAACCTTTTTTGTGTTTTGTAAAATACAGTATCTCCATACTTCAATTTGTAATGCGTTATCATGATTTCTTTGGGCTTTGTTTAGGTTGGGCCTATGCTATTTTGTTCGGGCTTGATTTGTTCACCCCAAGTTGGTTGCATTCTTGACCATGAAAGAAATTTGGGCGTATTTGATGATTGACACTTAGCATCCCCAAAATGCTAAAGAGAGGCAGCAAACATATCTAGGAGCTCTTTAAAATTATTTTTATTTTATTATTATCAGAATGAATGTTTTATAGAATATATTTTTAAAATAAAAAATAATAAAAATAAGTTTTTTTATTTTTTCTTATTTTTTAAAAAGAAAAAACATATAAAAGATGTTTTTATTTTTCCATTCTTTATAACAATATTTTATTTTATTTTTTTCAAGACATTTTTAAAAATATGTTATTTAACAGATTTAAAAAAAACCAAAAACTGTTCTAAAACAAGTTATCAAATATATCCTTATATTTTACAATTTATAATCCCGTGGTGTTGTATTTTTTTTTTTAATCTTCTTCTTCGTGGAAAAAATAAATAAATAAAACTTACATCAGCGATGCATGTCCTTTCAAGTATTTAGATAATTGATGGTAAAAATATTTCCCTTACGAGGCATATCAAATTGATAAAAGCACTCATCATTGTTATCTCTCCAGATATATACAAATAATTCTTCTTTTATTACCCTTTTTCATAAAAAATATTTAAAATAACGGTTTGAAAATGAAAGAGAATATTAATAAAACAAGTGAAAGGCATTGTGCATGGAAGTGATATCCAAGACCGAGTCAAAGGCACATATAATTTTCTTTATAGGCTAAAGTATAGGAAGAATCCCCCACCTTTCTTTTACTCATACAAAGCAACAAAATCAACTTTAGTACCTATTTCATGTTATGAATCTTGGCCTTTCTTTTTTTTACATGGCTATCTAATATATAAGATCAGATTCAAGTATTGTTAGATCTAATTAAAAATTTTTACATGTATATGACTGAACTCAAGATCTTGTCCTTTTTTACTAGAACTGATGCTTGTACTTAGCCTTTCTTCTATTTTGTGTGTTTATGCCTTTCAATTTTTCTACAATGGTTTATCATGCCATGTCTTGATTTTTTTTGTTCCATTATAAGTTGTTTATTTTATAATTATGTTTGGAATTAACTTAATTTGAATCATGGATGTTGTCGTCGAAGAGAACATAGTTGTGCACAAGGTCACTTGTCTTTCTTATGCTGTTTTTTTTTCCCTATTTATCTCCATGCGTAAATATTTATTTCCTTGACTGTAAAAAAAAAAAATCCTGCTTAAAAAACATTTAATTTGCATCCTATTCCAATACATTAAATTAACACACTCACACAGACAGACATCATTTATTGTCAAAATTTTCAATTAGAAGTGTTTGTGATTAATTAATTATTCAATTTCATTTGTACATACATGCATTAAAATATTAGTTATATAAAATTGTCTCTCTTGTATTTCAATTATACAATTTTTTATATGTAAAAAAATATAAAGACTGCACAAGAGTCTAATTTAGAGTAGTTTTTGTGGTTTGGCCCCATGATAGCTTAAAAATGATAAATTATTATAAAAATTAAAAATTTTAATGTATACGAAAATAACAGGCAGATGCTGGATACAGATGTATATTTTATTTTTCCCCCAAAGTAATGAATACGTGATATACACAAGTATCTTAAAAAACATTAAAAAATTCCAAACAAGGGAAAACTATTAATATATTTTTGTACACAAGCTCCCAACCCTTTACCATATAAAGCTAATCAAAGATTCGATAATAATTTAATTTTTCATATAAAAGGAGTAGGCATAGCTTGAGCGTTGATAGCATCTACGTCAAGTCATCATCATGTTCAAGCTAGGCGTGGAATATTTGATTACTAAATTTTTAAGCATATGCTGATTATATTCTTCGTCAAGTGCTTTCATAATATATATATATATATATATATATGATGCATTCCTAAGAAACTAAAAAAATGAAGAAAGCAATAGGGATGACAAGCAAAGATATGGAATATTATTCCTATACATACAATTTATTGTTTGTGTTGTTTTATCCTTGTGTATAAATGCATGAATGTTGATAGTCAAAAATTCCATTTTAATTAAAGCCTTAATTAATTAGTTGATTAAAAATAAAGTCTTGGCTATAGCTTTGGGATGACCTCATTTTGTGGCAAGTGAATTTTGGATAGAATGATGTGCTAATTTAAAAAGGTAGTCATAAGTTGCATTATTATCAACGAACTATATATACAAAATTAAATGCGTGAGTTTGAATGCTAGCTTATTTGACTTAATGGTCAAGCTATTTTATGCATGAATTTGTATGTGACTTCATCCATAAATTATGCCTAACTCGTCAAACGCAAAAATGACAGCCATGGCTTACCTAACGCTTTGATTGGTTCGTTTGAAACCCACTCCTCTGGGTCAAAATCCCGCCTCTATATAGATGCATGCACGCAAATAATATATATATATATATATATTATAATTAATCAATCAACTCTGATTAATTGATAGACTCTTCAAAATATAGCCTTGGTAGAAGAATGAGTTTGGTATCTGACGAGTCAAATTACACAAAACCTTGAGTTTTTCCCCCCCATTTAGTGTTATGTTCTCAGTCATCTTTATCATAAGGTACATTTTAAACGAGATGGATGATCCTTGTTGAAGGTTATTTGAAAGGATATTAATTAATTTTAAACAAATTAATCATTTAATTATTATAATTTTGATTGGATTATATTTCAATCCTTAAACTTTAACTTGTTATAATGCAATTATCTTATATAGTTTTAATTTGATTATAACTCAATCATTAAACTTTTACTCTTGCTACTTAGTCTTCTAGTTTTAACGCTTTAAAACATTGTTTCCTATATTTGTAAAAAATAAAATTATAAATATTAAAATTATGTTAAAATTTATGAGTAATATTTTAAGTTATTAAACCCTTTTTTAATATTTACAAAGATTAAAATTTTAAAATATCTAATCGTGCCTCAAATAGAATTACCTCTAATAAAATGATACCTATGAGCAATAAAAAATATTAAAATTTTAAAATATTTTTAATCTTTATAATTTTATTTTTTAAAATATAGAGATCAATATTTTAAATTATTAAACTAGAATGACAAGAATTGAGATATAAGAGACAAAGTTCGGGAAATAAGTTGCAACAATAAGTTAAAAATATGATGATCGAGTTAGAATGAGTTAAAATTTAAGAATTGAGTTACAATCGAGTCAAAATTATAAGGACAAAATAATTAATTTTTCTATTAAAGTCATTAACTATGAGGTAGAATATAATGCAAACTTAAAAATATTCGTGTGCATAGGAAGCAGGTTCACTAATGGTAGACAATATTTCCCCTGAGACATTGAGGGTATAAGGTAGACCTCTCCTTAGTACCAAGACCCTAGGTCATGAGGCGTAATATTGTTAAAATTAATAATTTAATAAATATTACACCCTGTATGGCTTTATGTTATGAAATTGTTAAGTAATCATTTCATCCCATACGTTTTGCAGTCAATTTTTCACAAATTTCACATCAGAAAAGGCTTTTTTTATCATTGTTGTGGCAACTGATAATGTCATTCTTAACTTCAAGAGAGCATAAATTTTTTTAGAACCCAAACATCTTTAAAGTTAGACTAAGGGCTGGGACGCAAAATATTTGAGTCAAGAAGTACAAATTATTCGAACATATGAACTCTTGTAATTTTTTCTAAGTTCCAGGTGTAACACCCTCAAATTTACAGACCGATTTTTCACAAGTTATTAATTCAACAAATCCTTTTTTTTTATTGAACCCTTATCATGGTAGAAAAATTTCTACCACGATACATCCAAGACAATATACCACAGGTCTTAAAATATCTCAAAAAAACAATTAGAACCATGAGGGACAGACATGATCCTCATAGCATGTTATTCAAATCAGATCATAAATCAAGAGCGACAGACATAATCCTCTTGGTCATATAAATACTTTTAATAAAAAGGATTAGAGTTTACATGCTTCACAAAGAAGATATGTCCTAAGTTGGCACAAGATACATTGTATAATCTAAAATAAGAGGCAACGTAAAAGATGGTGTCTCATACACCATAATTACACCTCTGGTGCTTTCTCGGCCGGACTCGCTCCTGTAAAAATATTAACCACGGGGAATGAGACTTAAAAGTCCCAGTAACCAAAAATTAATATGTAATGATGCATGCGGATGTAACTAATCATGCGATTGCTAAGTGGGCACACAAAACATTTAACCGAACAATACTTTCAAACAAACCGAACAAGTATTTAATTTGCATGACTGCACCTTATATCCTCCTTTCGCCGTGCTCGGACGCCAAATTACCCGGCCAAAGGTGAGTTGGACCAAGCGACACGCCACTCATTGGGTCCAATGAGGGCTTACCACGTGGTAATAATTAACCGAACAGAAATTCCCATTAACACCATACATTAAAATACCCTGACAAGTCATGCATCATTCAAATATCCAAACAGGAATATATCCGAACAATAATATCTCATCATGATAAACAAAAAAATTTTTAACCCACTTGGCAATAATTTCAAACAAGTATATACAGTATTTATTTTCAATAATTCATAATTTTTCCAAACAACAAAACAACACATAACCATTCACAAACACACTCATCACAACACATTAATAATGGTTACCTTGTGTCTTGAATAACAAGTTCCCCTTCACAACTCCTTTTTCACCACTATCTTTGTCAATATAATCTACATAATTATTTCACAATACTATATATTAATTTTACATTAAAATAAATAACTCTAATTTAAATAGTTAGAAAGTCTTAGATCTATAATCCATATTAACACTAATTTAAGATTTATGCCTCATTTAACTTCCCAAATTTTTTCTAAAATTCTCGTACCCTAATAAACTATTATTTTTTTATCCTCAAATCACTTCTAGTATCACAATTTCATCCTTCTATATTCTAAAAATTCGTCCAAAAATAAATTAAATTTTTAAAATTATCCTGAAGCCTCAAATCACCTTTCTATAACCTCAAAAATACCTATTCATACTTAAATAAATATTTAATAATCATAGGTTTATCCCTACATCTCAGATTCCACATAAATTCAACCATATAGATCTAGATTTTAACTCAAAAATTCTTAAACATGAGTTTCAACCTCAAGAAAATATTCTATAATATTTATTATATCCCTAAGAGTTTTAACCTATATTTTTAATCCATCATATCATCAGATTTACTATCCTATAGAACAAATCCTAATCAAAATATTTACTCTATCCTACAAAATAATCATATCACTAGAAAGCTAATATTATTTAAAAAATAACTATAAAATTAATTTTGTAATTAAATAAATTTTTAAATGCTAATCTAAACAGGAAAGTTAGAACATACCTGAAGAAAAAAGAAAATAATCCCCCCTTGCGAGAAAACGCCGAGCAACGTGAGAGGAAGAGAGAAAAATAATATAAAAATGGGATTGTGAGTCCCAAAATTATATTAAAAAAAACTATAGGTTTGAATTTAATTATTCAAACCTTTGGGCCCAAAGTTGCAATTTTCTCTAAATTGCATCTTAGCCTCTCATGCTTCCTAATGCACACACCCCCTCCTTTTTATACATGAAGGCACCTCTTCTCTTCCCTCATCTAACCAATGTGGGACTTAAAAACAACAACCTTCCACCCCCCCTTTTTTTTTGTTCCTTCTACCTTCTCTTTTTTTAACACACACATAAAAAAAATTATTTATGTATTATATCTTAACTAAATATTGCTTATGTGGTTTTAAATTTAAATTTTTAAATTCATAATTAAATACCTAATCATAATATTATTTCTAAATAACCTCAAATAATATAAATTCCTATTATTATCATTTTTTTCCTCAAAACCTAAATTCCACAATTTCTTTATTATATAAAAATCAGGATGTTACACCTGGGGTACATTCCCCCTCCCAAATTTTATGTAGCGCAACTTGTAAAATCCTAAAAAATTAATCATGATTGGTTAATTCAACAATTTTGATTAGTGAGTAATGAGGTGTGCGGTCAGAGGAGCCTAATTTGGTGCAATTGTTGTGATTTCAGCCCTAAAAGTGGGTCTCAATCAATGGCAGACCAACTGAGTAAGAAAAGAGGAAGAAAAGGTGAAGGGTTGCTCTCTGTGCCACATGTCACGGCGTGTAGTCAATGCACCACGGCACATGAATAGATTTAAATGTAACGGGCCTTTCTACGCCATGCGCCGTAGCGCACGACTAAAATTTCTAATAAATTAGTTCGCATTCTACGTGAAAACTATAAAGGAGGAGGAGGAGGAGAGTAAACATGAAGAGAATGTTGAAGCTCTATTAGAGCACGCACATTTCGACCTTTGTGGATAGATTAAAGCTCCCAAACATTCAATGTAAGTTTATTATGCCTTCTTCTTCCTTTTTCTTCCTCATTTATGCTGATTTATGATAGAGTTTGAGTTAAAAGAATGATTTTTGGTTTATAGTAGTATAGATTTGATCCTGTTGATTAAAATGAGTATAAATGGAGTTGTTTAAGGTATTAGGATACCACATTAATGGTTGTGAAAGTGGTTGGCTCAAAGGAACATTTAATATTCAAATATCAACATAAATGTGGTAGTTATGAGAGGTTTATGTCCATAATGATGGTTTGAAGAGTTGTTAATGATAATGAGAGTCAATGAAATCTAATAGACCCATTGGGTATGAATGGGTAGTGATTTATAGGTTGATAGAATAGAGTGTGTGGAGATATATGTCAGTAAATCCTCAAGATTGAAACAATAAGGGTATCCTTGTGTTATGGATGTAGTGTGATTTAATTTTAGCACCATTCAAGCTTGGGAGTGGCTTTGGAAGTGTTTTGTGTGAGGGTAAACCTTTGACCTTTCAAAAGTTTAAGGTAATCAGAAGAAAACTAACTCTATATAGTTGAATATTAATTATATTTGTAAAATGTGATTAATGATTTAACTTAAAGATGCATATTAGCAATGTGTTTAATTTGTGAAATGCTTTTGTAAAAGAAAACCTTGATTATGCCACTCAATTACAATTTAAGAGTTTGATTATGATTTGTCATTGTGGGTATAGATTTGTGATGTGTAATATGTTGAGTATATGGAGTGTTCGGGTATGTGAATTTATGTGCCATGAATTGATTGTTTTAAAATACATATTATGTGAGAAATATGCATAGCATGATCATTGGCAAGAGTTTGCCTAGGGAGAGAAGTAGTTAGTTAAAATTCATATGGTATTAGTAGTAATCATTAGAATCGAGAACCAGCTTTAGCACCGATCATTAGAATCAGAAGGTAGCCCTTATCTCATGGTTAATTTGAGACTGTCCCACTTGTTCTATGAGGAACTCAAACCTAATTAGTTTTTATTGATTTATGAGAAAGCTAGATTAGGAATATGACACTTCATAGTTATTAGTATTGAGGAAAACTGAATTATATAAGTGAGTAAGTTAATCCTAGTTCAATAGCTCCTCACAAGTGGAAAGCTAAATTAGTCTGTGAAGGATGTGGCCACATGATAACCACCGGTTTCATGTTGGAGGTAACAAAATGGTATAAGATTGGCATATAATCATGCATATAAATTCGACCATATAGTTACTAGTATGGTGGTTCAACATGTATTAGGGGTGAGTGGTTGATAGTATTATGGCCCCATATTGTGTATTATGATTTAAAAATGAATATATGTGTTTTTAGGTCGGTCACCTGGTTGTTAGCTTTGTGAATCGTGACCAAGTTTTTATATGTGTTATCTGTGCGTTTGCTTATTTACATCTATTTGCAATTGATATGTAACTGTATAGATTAGGTAAACTTGATTACTGAGTGATTGTATTTACCTTTTAATTCTCAATATTTCAGAACCTAGCTTATTAGATCCGAGTAGGAGAAAACATATAGAGGCTTAAAATTATGGAGTAATCCTTTTTGTATGCCTCTTTTATTGTTTATATATGTAAATGTTAATGCAATTGCCAACTAAGTTCACATGTTATTGTTTTTGTGCTACTTGTATTATCATAGTATACAACTTGCATATTTTATGCCTTGAGTTAGTGAGTTTTAGTTGTAAACCCGTCGACAGGGCTAAAATACTTATGCAAGTATGAATAAGTGTATTTTGAAAGATTTAAAATGAAGATGATGATTTTATGCAACATTTACCCCCTTATGTTTTGTGAAATTTGGGATTGAGTGGTGCTTTTATGATATATGTATTTTTGATTGAGTGTGGTGCATTGCATGGGTCCGCTAGAATCCATTGAGTATGGTCGGATGGTCGGTGTAAGCTTTTGGCACCTATGCTTGAGTTGGGACACAAAGTAGTGTGTTTTGTATGAAAAGTGGTGATAATGGGTTTTGATATCTAACTTTTTGTAGAAAAAAAAAATTAAGTGTGGAACCATTACCATTAGCTAGAATTAGGAGAAAGCTTTGTGTAGACATCAAAACCACCTCAATCGAAGATCGAACGAAGATTTAGGACGCGTAAAAAATTTGCTCCTTGTGTTGTCATATGACAGCACTAATATTGTCATTTATGTGTAATGCGCCGCGACGTGAGACGCATGGCATAAAGAGGATAAGCCACGGTGCACATGTCACAAGCCACGGCACACTTGTTGTTTTTTGCACAACATTCATTTTTGAGTTTTAAAACTCATGATTGTAGGTCTCATTTGTTTTTCAAGCTTTTGCACAATTTTTAAACTCTAATTCGAGTGTTATAAGTGTTGTTTGAGATTTGAAATTGAACTTTAGGGATCCTAATTGTATATAATTTGAAAAATTTTCTTTTATGTAATTTTACAACTTTAATAATCTTTTGGGGGTTAATCTCCTGATTATCTTGATTTTGGAGTTAAACATGATTAGGTAAGGGAGACCTTACATGACCTTTGCCTCTCCTAATTAAATTGTTATATACATAAGGCTTAGATTCAAATTACCAACAATTTATTTAAGTGACGTACAAGAGCCCTTAATATTCAAGTTAACTTTAGTTTATACAAAATTAATAATTTAACCGCTTCTTAATTTTCATTCTTGTGAGATGGTTAGAAGTATTTTATAATAAAAAGTGAGAAAATTATTTTTTTAAATCATGTTAACCTCGAAATTTCCTTTTATTTCTATTACGGTGAAACAAAAAAGTCCGTTCATCCATTAATGATTTGCGTTGATGTAAAAATCAATTTCGGAATAGAAGATTTTGGACCTAAATCACTGGTAACTGTAAACCCTTTTTTTTTTTAGATTTGTTATTTTTTTGGTTAAAAGTATCATATATCACAGTAACAGTGTAACACACACACAGATTGTTTCTGACCAGAAGTATCATGATGCGTGAGTGAAGGGACAAAATTAGTCAACCGTGGGCACTAAATTATCCATAGGCTGCCACATGTCGTTATTAGAAGACAAACTTGGAGAGATTAATGCCCTAATGAAAACTGAAACCAATTATTCAAATGCAAAGAATGAAAGAAAAAGTAGATAAGTGACTTCATTGTTTTCATATCATGTTAGACTATCCATCTTGCTTTTATATGTAGAAAAGAATCTTTGATAAGAACTGCCAATTTTGAATTTTCCACAAGTATATGTTTGGATAGAGGTTTAAAGGATGTAAATGAAGAAACCTAACCCCAATGATATTTTCCGATTACTGTGTCATTTATTTTCTGTTTAGTGAAATAATGTAAATTGAATAGATTAATATTTTTATCTCTTCCTCCACACGCACATCCAGTTTTCACCAGACTATTTATCTTGCCAGAAAATATTATTATAGTGTATAAATAATATGACAATATGAGTGATGACACGTACATATCTCAATTTACTATAAAAATTAGTGTCACTTATATGAATTATTTTTGTAGACTGCAACAAATAGGATTCATATGCTGTTTAACATTGATGGAAGGGTAAACACCCAATTAATTATATCAAATTAATAGGAATTAAATTGAGCAAAAGTGTTAAGCTAGTTTTTCACAATGTAATAAATTAAAATTTAAATTTTTACTGAAAGAAATACTCACATTTAACTTATAAAAAAGAGATTGTGTTTAACAAGGGAATATTCATACACAATAAAAAAATTAAAGAACCATATTTTAATGGATATTGATTTTTTTTAACTCAATTAAAGCATCACTAGTTCCTCTTTCCTTTTTTTTTTTCTTTTAACTATGTTGGAAAGGTTTTAATTTATAACACTATCGTCCTCCCTACAACTTGAGTTACTTCTAGTAAGGGAGCATCTAATAATTTCTCGAGGGCATATGGTAATTGATGCATGGTGCTCCATTTCCAATCCAACTTTATTTTATTTATAAAAGCGATCCAATTTCTATTATGATATGTTCACAATCATTATTGCAAATTAAAGGGTTGCAGTTGAAGGCCTTTTCTTGAATATTAATTTAATTCACAGAGTCAAAATCGACATGTTCGATTTTTTAAAAAAGTGATTAAAAAAAAAGTTAATTGACTCTTTTTGACGACCCTGGGTTGCTTTCGAATATTTTCCCTCCCAAAAGTAAATATATACTTTATATGCCAT